TAAATTATTTCAACTTTTCGCAAATAAAATTGGGTTGATTGGTATGACTTGGCACGTTTTTTGAAATGAAACTTTATTTTCACATAATCACTTCAAATCATTCGAGATATTCGCCATTATTTTGTATGATTTTTGCCCATTTTATTGATAGAAATCGAATGCCACTTTCGTAAAACAAAACGATACAAACCAATCTGTCCTCTTCTGTCAGCCATTGAACTTTTCTTTGGAATCAAAGTGTTTGTTCACTAAATCAAAGCTCATCACTCGGAATCAGTAGTAATTAGAAGGTGCAAGAGCAGGGATGTGTGCAAGATGGGCCTGAACTGTAGTTGCATAGACCCGGAAGATATGTATCTTTATTTACAGTAGTATAATAAGACGAATAGATTACAAAGAGGAAGGGGAAGGGGGGACTCCAAGTGAGAGCCTCACTTGTCCTCCTAGGCAATCCCAAGGGCCGACCCTTCTCGGATAAGCACAGGGGAGATCACATTTACATAAGAATAGACAAATCATTCAATAATAATAATAGTAACTAAAGTATCAGTTTGGCTCGGAGCTGACAGTATATCTAAGCTAAGAGCTCGGAGCTGACAGTATATCTAAGCTAAGAGCTCGGAGCTGACAGTATATCTAAGCTAAGAGCTCGGAGCTGACAGTATATCTAAGCTAAGAGCTCGGAGCTGACAGTATATCTAAGCTAAGAGCTCGGAGCTGACAGTATATCTAAGCTAAGAGCTCGGAGCTGACAGTATATCTAAGCTAAGAGCTCGGAGCTGACAGTATATCTAAGCTAAGAGCTCGGAGCTGACAGTATATCTAAGCTAAGAGCTCGGAGCTGACAGTATATCTAAGCTAAGAGCTCGGAGCTGACAGTATATCTAAGCTAAGAGCTCGGAGCTGACAGTATATCTAAGCTAAGAGCTCGGAGCTGACAGTATATCTAAGCTAAGAGCTCTGTCAGCTCCGAGCTTCAAGTCATTTCAGAGCATGCAATATGAAAATTGTCTAGTTTTCGGATAAAAGAAATTACAAAATCCGATAGACTTTTGATACAATAAAAGCTTTTCCCAAAAAAATGTCACAAAAAACGATGAACCAAGCAGTAGACTTTATTACAATCCGTTCTCTTTTTTAAATAGAATATATTGTGGAGATTTCAAAAGCTTCAAAAGCTGAAAAGCTCAAATCTGATTCCATTGTTACCCATTGTGTCATCTGGGGTACAAAAAAAAATGAAAGCGGCTCCCTGCAGAGATTTTAAAACTTTGAACCCAGAAATTAAAATGATTTGAATGATTTGAATGATTTTTTTGATTTGTATGATTTGTATGTTTGAAGCCATTTTTAAACTTCCCGGTTCTCGGTTTCCTTGTATAAAAGACTCATGACCACATCCAGTGCCAACAATCAGAAAAATGAGATATTCAACTCTCGGATTTCTGGCGCTCGCTTTTAGTAAGTATTTTCAAAACTAATTATGTATTTTTATAATAAAAGAAATGCTATTTTAAGAACATCTCAGGAAACCAAGCTTGCCTTCTATAGTCTGCGACAATATGGTTAAATATAAAGAGAGTAATGTTACCCCGAGCTAAGTGCAATCTTTTGCCCGCTAATGCTTAATGTTTCTGCGAAATCTGTTTCTGCTTTACCACTCTAACGGGTTGTTTATATTCAGCTGATTTTATGAATAAGAATATCTATCATGTCTACATATAGTCTACGCATACATTATTTCGGTTCTGTTGCTGTTCACTCACTGCCAACCTGCACAAAATGCCCTGCTAACGGTTTCTGGTCGAATTGGAAAGACAGTTCGACTTGTACGAGGACTTGTGGTTTAAAGGGACGAAAGAGTCAAAGGAGGATCTGCACATCGAATAGTAAGGGATGTCCGTGTAGGTGGGTGGTCTAGAATTCGATCTTTCAATATTATTGGCTTGGCAACTTGAAACTATTGGCAACTGGCCACTATTGATAGGCATTTTTTTCAAAAACTACACCATAGAATTTTCCGAAAATTATACAGCATATACTAGAGTTAAATTAAAAGCTACTGACAAATTTTGATAAGATTCTATGGTGGAGTCTCTACTATATAAAAAGATAAACTCTGTCAGTCTCTACGCGCACTACGATCGATTTCTGGAGATTTTTGTAGGCATCCGCACGCACTCCACCTCCGAATTGAAGCATTTTCCACATCGGTCACTGTTTTGAGCGTTGAGAACATTCTAAAGCTAGAAGGGGAGTAATTCTTGGGTATGAATCAACACTAGAATTACCTTCCACGTGGGAGGCGATTCTTGGGTGGTGGGCAGTTATTGTTCACTCTAGAATAGCCCCCAAGTGGGGGGTGATTCTTGGGTGGGGCGTAATTGTTCGATCGTCCCCAAATGCATTTCAATAGTCTGCCACGTTAAAGTTGCCAATCAAGTTAGTAAAAAAAATTGCTCTTTTCAACCAACATCCTCTATTTAGTGGCTCTACCACTCGCTCGGTTCCCTGCCCAGTGAAAATTTGCGAATTCGGTCAGTCTACATGTGCGACCGGATATAAAAAGGTTTTTGGTACAGATTGAAACCTTTTACTGGTTGATTTTAGTGGAAAAACGTCGCCCTGCAGATGTATGTTTGTGGTAATGTGACAAGGGATGATGATTATGTGGCACCGACTTGTATTTTACCTAATCTGACCACAACCAAAAAGACAACAACAACTAAAGCGCCGACAATCACCACAAAGAAGCCTACACCGAAAACAACGAAGAAAACGACGATCAAGGCTACCACTAAGCCACCAACTACAACGAAGAAGACGACGACTAAGACAACGACTAAGACAACGACTAAGACAACGACTAAGACAACGACTAAGACGACGACAAAAGCCACAGCGAAAACAACCGCCAAAACAAACACTCCAAGTAAGTTTTCCTCGTTTTCTTCAAGATTCTTCAAGAAAGATGACGCTCCCATTTCAGCCACCACTCCAACGACAACCCCGACAACACTTTGCGTTACCCCCAGCATCCCTCTTCAGTGCACCGTAGCAGGTTCATCAAAAATCTGAAACAAATTTGAACCAAATCTGAACCAAATCTGAAACAAAAAACAAAAAGAAAAGAAAAAAATGAGATTTAACATCATCATGTTAAAGCTTTATCGTGCATCGTTTAATTATTGAAAACTATATTAATTATTCAGCTGCGGATCAACCGTTGTACAAATGCCAGGAAGGATATCAATATTTCCCAGCTACGGGCTATGAATATAAAGTGAGCGGAAAGCATCGATCATTGGCTATTTCGGTTCTGTTTAGGTTCTCCATGATACGACCTGGACAGCAGCTGAGACGGCTTGTGTGGCCGAGTCGGGTCACCTTGTATCGATACACAGTGAAGCGGAGAACAACTTTGTGCGAAGTGAGTTGAGAATTGAGAGCTTTTGAAGATGAATAGAAATAAGGATTTGCCTTTTTTTCAATGTTTTAACAAATGCGTGACGTCCTGACCCTCACCGGTGGGTCACATCAAAATTTAGCTCGAATTTATGAACAGATTAAGCTCAAAATTTGTTTACCCGGGTTTCCGGGATCGAGGAAATCGAATCTAATGTTAGTTTTAACCTACAGTAACCGCAAATACTCGAAATAAGCGTGTAAGTCTAGACGATTTTGAGAAGTTTGACAACTTTCTTTGACATTGAAGAAACTTTTTTCCTATTGCGTTGTCCAGTCCAGTTGTCGTTTTTTACTATTTTGTAAATTTCTCAAGATACAGAAATCAAGAAAAAGATATATATGAGTATTATTTGAGAGCTGAGAGATCTCCTCTACATTTTGATATAAAAAGTTTTTGAATTTGTTCAGCTTTTGGGCAAATTGACTGCACAGAAGAAGAGGTGGCCAAAAAATGGATCAAGTTTTGGCTCTCGGGACTCAGAGCCAGCTCTCGGGACTCAGAGCCAGCTCTCGGGACTCAGAGCCAGCTCTCGGGACTCAGAGCCAGCTCTCGGGACTCAGAGCCAGCTCTCGGGACTCAGAGCCAGCTCTCGGGACTCAGAGCCAGCTCTCGGGACTCAGAGCCAGCTCTCGGGACTCAGAGCCAGCTCTCGGGACTCAGAGCCAGCTCTCGGGACTCAGAGCCAGCTCTCGGGACTCAGAGCCAGCTCTCGGGACTCAGAGCCAGCTCTCGGGACTCAGAGCCAGCTCTCGGGACTCAGAGCCAGCTCTCGGGACTCAGAGCCAGCTCTCGGGACTCAGAGCCAGCTCTCGGGACTCAGAGCCAGCTCTCGGGACTCAGAGCCAGCTCTCGGGACTCAGAGCCAGCTCTCGGGACTCAGAGCCAGCTCTCGGGACTCAGAGCCAGCTCTCGGGACTCAGAGCCAGCTCTCGGGACTCAGAGCCAGCTCTCAAGACTCAGAGCCAGCTCTCGGGACTCAGAGCCAGCTCTCAGGACTCAGAGCCAGCTCTCAGGACTCAGAGCCAGCTCTCAAGACTCAGAGCCAACCGAGGTGCCTTTGGATCAAGTTTTGGCTGCGCTCAAATTGAGTTAACCGTTTGATGTTTGGCCAATAGATATATCTATACAACTTTTTTTTAATATACCAATTTCAGAGCATCTTTACTTTTCTTTTCTGGGCGGTTATTTTAGACCATAAAACTTGAGGAATAGCTAAGCTGAAAGGGGGTTTTTTTGAAAACCACCTCTCCCTTTGCGCAGTCAATTTCCCAAAAAGTTGTATGAATTCAAAAGCTTTTTTATTCCAAAATGTAGAGGAGATGTTCAGCTTTCGAATGATATATAACACTCATAAACATCTGTTCGATGTCTTGAGAAATTTACAAAATAGTAAAAACGCGCATTCATCACTGGACAACCCAATTTTTGAGTGATTTTAGTGCTTTTAATATGAAAGTATCCTCTGAGATCTCTTCTATTAAAAGGGTGAAATGAAAGATCAAAAAATGAGATCAAAAAAAATATTGAAAAATAATTAAGTTATTCATTTTCCTGCAAAAAAAAAAATCCCGGTTATTCCGGAATTTTTGACTTTGAATTGTGCCAGAAAGCGCGCGGCTTACTGTACTGTAGTTGGGGTTAATGTAGTTGGAAACTGAACCCGGATTCGAATCTCCACCCAAAAAAAAGCCGCGGATAAAAATTTTCAGACTCTTGTGTTGTTTCCGGGTACTTTGAAAGAATTTTGGAAAAATCCGGGTATTTTCTTCGGGTCGTCACATTTTGAAGACCTATAACTTCTTCCAGAGATCATATTTTTGTGAACTTTTTATAGCATTGTATAGAGAACATTTCAGGCTTTAAAATGATACCAAATAGAGGTTGATTGGATAAACCAGTTTAAGAGAATCAAAGCAAACTCTGAGCAAATGAGGCCTATCTAACTCGGGTGTCGTGTCGCCTGGTTTTTGCATAAGAGCGAAAAATCCAGTCAAGCTCTATTTGGTATCCATTGAAAGCCTGAAATGTCCTCTGTAAAATGCTATAAAAAGTTGACAAAAATATAATCTCTGGAAGAAGTTACAGGCCTACAAAGTTGGCGACTCGTTGAAAATACGTGGAAACTACGCAAGAGTCACTTTTTAGATTTACAATTAGTAAAGAATTCTCTCGTCCGAATTCCCAGTTAAGCAAAAAAATGGCTTCTTCGCGAATGTGTTCAATTTTCAGCATTTCCAGGTCTCTGCTGTCTTTCCGGTTGTGAAAGAGACGATCGGGGTTACCTTGGACTCTACATAACTGGTGGATATAGGGTCAGTTTAAAAGTTGCTCGCTTTTTTTTGTTTTTTCTAAGCCAACAGTCAAAGATTTTATTGGCAACCAAAGAATCTTGGCAAATATACCAAAGAATTTAAGAGAACTCTAGCTTTTTGAGCTTCGAAAGGTGAAACATTTCCTTTTTTAGGAGAACGGGGAACTTGTCTGGAGCGATGGCTCTTCGATGGACTATTTCGGGCTAGACTCGGCAAGCTGTTTGGCTACCTGCTATGAGCCGGATTGTATGCTTGTGGTCAGTCAGCTTTGGACTGTGTTTCTCTCAAAAAAAATACGCTTTCTAGAAAGCAGAATAGCTAAAAGCTAGCTTCAATAGCTGAAATTGCTTTGCCTTTAAATACAAACGTACAAAAATCCAATGTGTTTCTTGTTTTAAAGTACAGGTTGTCCAAAAGTTGTTCTTTGTAGGCTTCTTTGTCCCAAAGCGAAATTCGATTATTGATCTTATTGTTAATTTTCTAGAAATGAGCTAGCCGTGAGATAACACGCTAATCAAGCGAGAGTGGGTCCTTTGACTAAGTCCTGTCGTTTTGATGGTTATGAGTTGGCTCGATGTCAAACCAGGTTTCTCTTCCTGGCTGTTGGCAAATCCAATTGTGATTTCATCCTGAAAAAAATCAATACAAAAGAGTTTTAGTCATAAATCAGAAAAAGAACGAGATAAAAAAGATAAAACTATCAAAACAGAATCCGTTCCATAATTTTGAGACACCCTGTAGAATTGTTTTTTGTTTCATTCTGTCTAGCATGTCTAGCATTAAAAAACCTTAGAGATATTTAGCCACGTAAGCAAATATTCACTTTTTAACTGCAAAGAAAGCGCACAGAAATGCGCTTTATTTGAAGTTTAAGCATTATTCGATTAAAAAATTAGGTGACCATTTGTAATCGAACAATTATTTGTTGGGGCTCACTAGCAGCTCACTAGCAGCTCGCTAGCAGGTTCACTAGCAGCTCACTAGCAGGTTCACTAGTAGCTCACTAGTAGGTTCACTAGCAGCTCACTAGCAGCTCACTAGCAGGCTCACTAGCAACTCACTAGCAGGTTCACTAGCAGCTCACTAGCAGCTCACTAGCAACTCACTAGCAGGTTCACTAGCAGCTCACTAGCAGGTTCACTAGTAGCTCACTAGCAGCTCGCTAGCAGGTTCACTAGCAGCTCACTAGCAGGCTCACTAGCAACTCACTAGCAGGTTCACTAGCAGCTCACTAGCAGCTCACTAGCAGGCTCACTAGCAGGCTCATTGGCAGGCCACTAGCAGCTCACTACCAGCTCACTAGCAGGTTCACTAGCAGCTCACTAGCAGCTCATTAGCAGCTCATTAGCAGGCCACTAGCAGCTAGCAGCTTCGAATTCCCGGGAACAACGAGAAAATTTCCAGATAGTCAGCTATGATTGTATCGCAGTGTGCCCAGCAGGCACCTGGTATGTGGCTCCAAGCCGTGGAGTGGCTCGCTCCTATGCTGTCTGCAAGAGACGTCCGCCGTGTCTCCTTGCATAAGCAAATTACACAAATTTGCTCGTTTAGCTATTTCAAACTGCCGTATCCCATTTGTAATGAATTTCCTTTTTGGTTGTGTCTTTTTTTAACGCACTAATAAAGTTTTACACATGCATTCAGCTCCATAAATGCAAACATGGTGGTTTTTGGGATTCGATCTGATCAAATTTGGATTAATTACGAGAATATCAAAAAGGAAGAACCGATGGCTATCTACCGGACAAACCACTCTCAAAACTGATATTCATGAAATGAAAATAATGCTCTGTTGAACTTGGAGAACTTGGAGGTCACTCGGAAAAAGAGATGAAACCGGACACTCGGAAAAAGAGATGAAAGTTTTGGGAGCAAAAGTCTTGAACTTTTTTGGCTTACAAGGGAACCTTAGAAGGGTTTTTCAAAACAGTTTCTGAACTTACATTTTCAGGCCTTTTTTTGGTATCTACCTCATATTGTAACTCGCGGATAACTTGAGAAGGTTCCCTTGTTAGTGAGAAGGTTCCCTTGTTAGTGAGAAGGTTCCCTTGTTAGTGAGAAGGTTCCCTTGTTAGTGAGCCGGGGCACCGTCTTGTTGATAGGTCCAAATTCGACCTCGGAAATGTTTCTGAGCCCACGGAAGAATTTCTATCTTTAAAAGATCCAGATAGTACTCCGCGTTAACTTTGACTCCTTGTGGCACAAAAATGAGAGATGTTTTGTCGACTGGTTTGGCTTCTTCCTCATCCGATCCCGCACACGTTTGATCGCTGTTTGATCGCTTTGTAATCGCTGTTGGGCGTCCACCTCGTCCTGGACGATCATTACTTGTTCCTAACGATTGAAACCGAGTGATGGCACGATAAACAACACTCCGGTGAACACTCAAACGCTTGGAGATGTCGATCGCTGAAACATCTTGCTGATGTAAAGCGATTGTCGATGTCGATGTCGAATAGATTGTCGATGAAGCGATTTTGCAACCATCCTGTTAAAAGATAATTTAAATGCGCAAAAGAGTTACAATAAGTCTAAGAGAAGAGAAAAACATAAAAAGGCCAACATGCAGTCGTAAAACTGCGATTAAATGCGACTGCCAACAAGTGGCCTTGTTGCACGGAGCGGTGGCATTGGGGCAAGCAGAGCAGACTGCGCCCGGTGGATAGATGACCACATTAGCAGCCAATCCTCTGGAAAGACAGTTTGCTCAAATACGAAAGAACTATTGAATATAAAAGTCAATAAATCCCGACTTCTCATCACACCAAGCTATAATTTAGTTGCTTTTGCTTTCTCTCTCCCTTGTTAAAATGAATCCCTTGCTAATGAATCAACAGATTCACTTACTTTGGTGTCATCTGACAAAGCACGGCATAATGGGCGCTCTCATTCCGGTAGACACACCCGATCTTTTGCACATTTCCGGCCATAAACTGAAAAGTTGAAGTCCAATTGGTTGTAAGTAAGTCCAATTGAATGTAAGTAAGTCCAATTGCTTATAAGTAAGTCCAATTGGTTGTAAGCAAGTCCAATTGATTGTAAGTAAATCAATTGGACTTCAACTACCAACCGATTGTGGTGGCCAAATGGCACCTGCCATATACTGGCCGACGCAGAATTTTGCGCTAATTCCGAATCTGCTTTCCATTTTTGCTAAATAGCATTCTATCAAAAGTTATAAGCCTGCAAAGTTTTGGATTTCATTTATTTGTATCCTCACAGGGCAAAGCAAATTGAATTTGAAAATTTGAAACAAAAATCGTTTGAATTATCGAATGAAACTCGCTCATTTCACGAATGTCATCCTGCATCAATTCTGTCATCAATGTCATCCTGCCTCTGGGAAATCTGCTTATAAACTCAAGGGATGCTTTTGAAAATCTCAAGGGATGATTTCCATAAAAAACTTTACATGCTTATAACTTTTGACAGAGTGTTATTTAGCAGAAACGGAAAACAGATTCGAATCAGCGCAAAATTCTGCGTCGGTCAGTACACGTTTGATACAAATAAGTCAAATTTGATATACAAATAAGGCACATTTGACCACCACACGCTGTTGGCATTCCCTTTGTTGGCATTGTTAGAACAAACTTCAATTTCAATACCCAAATCTCTTCAAAGCATTACCTGATAGGCCATGTTGATGTTTTCGGTTTGACTTTTCTTGTATGCAATCGATGGGAGGCCGGTGTCCTGCACAAAACCGTACCAGTCGTTCTCCCAGGCAATATCAACTGAAATAAATAAGTCTCGATTAACGAAAACACTAGTATTAGGGATTTTTGAGGCATGATAGCGATTTCTCAGCGACTCAATGCATTAAAGATTGCGGTTGACGATGTATTTAGTTCGTAGTCATCATCATCTCATAAATTAGTTTTTAGTTATTTACATAAATTTGTTGTGCATTAGATGAGCTGATTTTCTTCTTAAAACCAACAAATGGATTTCGGGGTGGGACGAGGGGTAACATCGAAGTTTTGTCGACCCACGAATCGATTCCAACGCTGATCTCTCCAACAGTGGTCGCCACTGTGCCGGTCATCGCTCCGTTGGCTAACGAATCCAAACGTTTCTTGGCAGCCGTTGCCAACGCGTCACTCCAAACCTGTAAAGATCAATTTAGGCATTTAGGAGAAACTGTTTTTTACCAGTTTATAGGTTCTCTTCGATCTCGGATAGTACTTTCGGGGAGTTGGAGATCCTGGCTGAAAATTAACTTCTTTAAAAAGAGATTAATTAACTTCTATTTAAAAGAACTCTATGTTTATGGTTTAAAACTGACCGCCTGGGTGCCCAAATGGCCCCACGACTCAATTCCTTTAGCCATACGGGAGCGGAGATTGTTGAACTTCTAAAATAGTAAAATGTTCTCTGTTAATTGTAAAACTTACGGCTAGGATATAGGTTCGCACAGTTCCAGAGAAGGCCACTGAGACTGAAGCCGAGGCAACTGAAAGAAGTGGAATAAGGTCAGCTAAACCTTGTTTAACAAAGTCAACTAAACCTCGTTTAACAAGGTCAGCTAAACTTTATTAACTAATCTGTGCTCTGTATAACGCCTCTATATATATTTACTTACCAGCCACGACGAGAGTAATACAGAGAAGAAGTTTCATCGTTTGAGTGGAGTGGATGAAGGAGAAGAGACCAAAAGTTCAATACGAAAATCTCCATTTCTCATGGAATTTATATAGGAAGTGGATGAACCCATTCTGTATTCTTTCCATTGTTCGGAATGGAGTTTGAAGACTGGTCAACTGTTGCCCATTCAGAAATAGACTCCCACGCGTGAAAAACTCGGCTCCACTCTTTTATTGGATTGGCAAAAATAGGCTGTCCTCTCTAGAGATCTGCAAAAAAAGGCGCACAATACACTCAGCTTCAATGTATTTTATTGGTTTGCAAGACAGAAAACTACAGACTAAACGGTCGCCTACGAGAAGTATTTGATCATTGACTTTCCTGAACACAAAGCATAATGGTTAACTAGCTGATGAGTAAAAAGGAAACGCTGACCAATAAAGTGTATGGTTATTTGTATTTATTGAGTTGAGGTTGAGGTTGAGGAAAAAGTCTTGACTATGCGCGCTTTAGCAACAAAAATAACATGTTCCTCAAAGTATAGCCATTATCTACGACTTTCTGTCATCGATCTTCATCGATCTGCAAGCTTTTGGATCTGATCGATGTACCACTCCTTCGGTTTCGAAGGAGAACTCTTAGCAAAGAACTCTTAGCAAGCTTCTTCAACTTCTTCAAATGACTCGAATCGGCGACTATTCAGAAAATGCTCAAATTTTTCGCAGCTGAGTCAGAGTCAGAACTTTTCCTCAACTTAATAATAGCGTTTATTATGCACCACGATCCCAGTACAAAGTTTGGCAAAAATCTGATGGTGGTGGTGATCATGGTGGCTCAGAAAATTCATGTATAGCGGAATCATGAAATCGGGAAAAGTGAAAAAAAGATCAAAAATTTGCCCGTTAGCAGGCTCACTAGCAGGCTTACTAGCGGGCTTACTAGCAGCTCACTAGCAGGCTTACTAGCAGCTCACTGGCAGCTAAACTGTTTTTGTTTTGGAACACCCTGTAGATTTATTTGCTAACGAGGGAAATGCCAAGTGTGATTTGTTTATTTCTAGATCCCCATCCACAAAATCTTGTGGAGAAGAAGCGTCGACGTGCGTCGATTAATGGCTTTATCCCCGAAGGCTTTAGATTGTGCCACCAATCAGCACTTCTGGCAAAATCATCACCCGATTTATTGATGCTAGAGGGATATTAGGGTTGCATCAAATGGATAAATTGACATAACAAAAATAGAAAATGACATAAAATGACAAATTCTTTGGAGAAAAGATTTTTTTTCGTTTATCAACCTTGCACCAATCGTCATATGGCTTCTTTCATTACCTAAAAAGCGAAAAAAAATAATGAGTATTATCATGGAATTTCTTCTGTTTAAATGAAATCAAATGAAAAAGAAAAGAAACTTTGACAGTTCATCGAACAACTCTCAAAAAAAAAACCTTTCTTGCTCACTATCCATCGCTAAGGATCCATCGCTGTAGGAAGTATGAAGTGATAAGCAAAATTTCGGTTTGTTTCGCTGATTATATGAAGTTTGGTTGCAAAGATAGGAGTCGTTATGTGTGTGGCGGTTCGCAGAGTCTATCTGCAGTCTATCTGGAGTCTATCTCGAGATAAGCGCCTTTTTGAGGAGCGCTTTCTTGGATTCGAAACAAAGGCACTCTATCGACCAGGAAGTCGGCGCTGGAGATGCGGTTTCTTTCGATATTTTTGTTGCTGATCGGTGGGTTACGCAAAGAGTTTCTGTAGTCAGTAGTGTACTGTAGTCAAAAGTTGTTTTGTTTTTAGATCCTTAGGTACTGGGCACAGAACTAGTTGCTTGCGAGAGTGGGCAGAGCCTAGAAAATGGCATTTTGTAAATGTCATGCGTTCATGCGTTCATGCGGCATGTTTAGTAACTTTTCATTTATTGTTAAATTATAGTATTTGATATATAAGTTCAATTTTTTCAACAAGTTATTCCCAACTTTTCCGTTTTATTTCCGTACATGCATAAGAAATGCGGATTTGAACATTTTCATAAATTCCCAACGATAGAAACATCCTGATATCGATATCGATTTCCTGATATCGATGAATGTTATAAACTATTTGAAAGTTGTAAACGAAAGTTGTAAATCTCCTCTACAAAATAGGCTAAAACGTGTTCCAATTGATCGAAGCATTGAAGAAATTTCGAGGGCGAAATGCGAGTAACCAAAAAAAGGAATCGAGTCACTTTAGGGACAAGTTTAGTGTCGTCAAAATAGAGTTTGTTGAAGAAGCTTGCTAAGCGTTCTTTGGTTCGAAACCGAAGGAGTGGTATTAAGACGACATTTTGATATATATCAATATTTTGACGACATTTCTTATGCATGTACCTAATATTGGGTTGGTGAATTGAAAACTGCGGGACTTTGAACCAAAATTTATTCAACATAAAACCATAAATTCATTCCAAATAATTTCCATTATTATTGACGACTTCTGCCCATTTTACAGGCAATTTGCGGATTCCTCTTTCGTAGTAGGATTTTGGTTTGTGTGTGAGACAAGTGTGAGACTCAAAAATGGAGGACTGGAGATGTCAGCTGTCAGTTTGAGTTTGTTTGAGCACTTTCTTCAAAAGAAACCCATTTTGGTGTCAATAGAAAAGTTGTAGAGAATCAAGAATTAGGTTTATAACCAAATTTCCAAAAAGATACACTTCGTAGTTTTGTTTAAAATGTTTTTTGAAATGCAAGTTTTGTGAAAATTCGTAAATTTGGCATTTCTTGAAAACCAGTTTTTGAATCGTTCTGAAAATTTGGATATAAGCTTCATTTCTGATTCTCTACAACTTTTCCATTGACACCAAAATGGATTTCTTTTGAAGAAAGTGCTTAAACTAGCCGACAATAGCCGGCAGTTTTCAACTCACCAATCCAATAAATTAAAAATAATAATTAAAAAAGTAATTAAACAAATTGGGTTTAATTTCATTTTACTTTAAATCAATTTAAAGGAATTCTCTCTTGAAATAATAAAATTCTGACGACAGATGCCTTTCGGACCGTCCACCGTACACTTCACCTTTCAGACGTTTCCGCGCCAAACGTCGGAAACTACCGTAACCCGACGCAATAAAACGACCCCGCCACAAAGAATTTTTCAGTCTTTCGCCGTATTTCGTTTTTCCATCTTTTTTTTCCCATTGACACCAAAATGGGTTTCTTTTAAAGAAAGTGCTCAAACTGTCACATATGACAATAGCCCGCAGTTTTCAATTCACCAACCCAATATATTCAAAGAAGTGCGAATATTTACTTTTTTTTCAGTGCAACTTGTCTATGCGGCTTGTCCAAGAGATGGCGCTGTTGGCTCAAACGGGAATTGCTTTTTCTCCCTTTCCTTCAATCAAACCTCCAACCAGGCGGAACATTTTTGCGCTAATTAGTACGTTAATTTCTAAATTTAGTTAATAAATTTAGTTTATAAATTTTTCCACAGTAAAACTCGATTTATAGTGAGAAGAAAGTGATGAATATATCCTTTGTTCACAGAAAATTATCAATATACCGTATTTCTTCGAATAGAAGACCGGTTAAAGAGTATCATCGCGTACTCCTGCGTAGCAGCCCTTTTTAAAATTTCTTTTCTGCATAAAAGCTTTCAATGAAGTGCTATAGGGCTGGAAAATGACTCAAAAATACCACATGAGCTAACAGATTTTTGAGCCATTTTCCAGCTCTATAGCACTCGATTGAAAGCTTTTATGCAGCAAAGAAATTTTAAAAAGGGCTGCTATGCAGGAGTACGCGATGATACTCTTTACCCGGTCTTCTATTCGAAGAAATACGGTATCCTTTGTAGTAAAGCTTGCCCTAAACGTGTTGATTAGATCAAAATAGGAATCGTATTGGAACCGTATTAGATCGAATAGGAACCGTATTGGAACCGTATTAGATCGGAATAGGAACCGTATTGGAACCTTTGTCAGCAGTTATAGTCAAGATCTTTCTTTAGTTTCTACGCGCACACAGCTTCAATCCAGAGTGCTTTCGACAATCAGGTCGTTCTGAATATGGCAAGGGACACGATGCCGGTGTGTGATGGGGAAAGGAAATGTTTTCTGATAAACTGAAAAGTTTGCTCCTCGTGATAGCCGAATCCTGATTGTCGACCTGATTGTCGATTTAGAACGCCGCCCAGGTGTGGATTGGCGGAACATATGACGGAAATGGGATCACGTGGAACGATGGATCGCCGGATGTCTACAAGAACTTTGGGCCAAGTTTCTACCATTTTCATATAGAAAATCTCGTTTCTATTTCCCCATTTTCCTGAAAAAAGAATTCTAGCTGCAGTTCGACTTTAGGGAAACTGGTTCCAGTCTCCAGTTTTAGATAGTGATCCGGGCGACATTGTGTTGAACTTGGCGACGGGGAAATGGGCTACAGCCGCCTGGAATACCAATATTCCGTTCATTTGTGGCCTTGGCGGGGTTTGTTCCGCGGTTAACCATACGATTAGAGAAGAGGATTTTTCTAAGAACTTTATTCAGAGCTTTATAACGCTATTCAGGCAACCACAAACCCGGCAACGGCTCAGCCAACCACCAGCTGTCAACCTCCCTGTCCAGACGAATGGGTCTACGTGGCCGAATTCAAGACCTGCTACAAGTCGATCTATGGGATCGATTTTAGTACCGCCGATTTGAATTGTCGCTCGCTGGGCGGAGTGCTGGCGTCGATTCACTCGGACGAAGAGAATCGAGTTGTCAGCGGTTCACACTTTTAGTTTTTTTCGATAAAATTGAGTCACAGAACTGTTCAAAGCTGGGCTCGGGACAAGCGATGGAAACAGCGAGTTGCTGGTTGGAGGGAAACGGGTAAGGGAAACACTTCTGGTCCACGTAAGTTTTTGTTTCTGGCGCATCGAATTCTCTATCTTGTTCTCTATCTTGTTCTCTATCTCAATGACTTGAGCTCTCAAGGGAAATTCGGAATTCGGTGCGCTAGAAAGCTACAAAACAAAAAAGCAAGATTAGTTTAAGCAAGCAAAAGATTTGCTGCAAAAAGATAGCGAGCTTGTTTGCAGACTGGCCCGGGAATCGCCGACTTCACATGGGTTGACGGGACTCCGTGGGACTACCATCCATGGGCATCTGGGCAACCGGACAACAATAAGGGAAATGAGTATTGCCTTGAGGTATACACGTTTTTCATTAAACTTCAATCCCTCAATTCGTCGCACACTTGCAGATCTGGGCCGATCGAACGGACGCGAATTCGCAAAAATGGAACGATTGCACGTGCACCAATAAATACCGAGCCGCCGTCTGCAAGCAGCCCGCTAAATATTAAGATTCACTTTTGTTATTCTACTTAGTTTTTTAATAATTCATAAAGTTTTTGCATCAGATTAGTTTCGAAAGTTGACACTTAGAATTCATTTTCATCCTCCGTCACAACACAGTGTAAAAAAGATTTGCGAGAAAGATGAGCGGCACTGATTTCTGACACGTTGCGATTTCTGAGTGTCCGTTAAATCATGTGGAATCCAAGTACGGTTCAAACGCAATGCAACGTTCAAGTATTATTGTATGAACAACTGATAACTCTTCTGCTATTTCGCAAAAAGAAAGCCTGTTGGTTTGAAAAATTTCGAGCAACTTGTCATTATCCAGCTGGACTGCTGGATGCTGGACAGTTCATTATCCAGCTGGACTGAACTGCCATTATCCAGCTGAACTGCTCATTATCCAGCTGAACTGAACTGCCATTATCCAGCTGGACTGCTGGATGCTGGTATTGGTCAAAATACGGCTGGAAAAATGCCCGTACAGTAAGGCAGACAGAAAGACAGACAGAAAGACAGACAGAAAGACAGACAGAAAGACAGACAGACAGAAAGACAGACAGAAAGACAGACAGAAAGACAGACAGAAAGACAGACAGAAAGACAGACAGAAAGACAGACAGAAAGACAGACAGAAAGACAGACAGAAAGACAGACAGAAAGACAGACAGACAGAAAGACAGACAGAAAGACAGACAGAAAGACAGACAGGAAGACAGACAGAAAGACAGACAGACAGAAAGACAGACAGAAAGACAGACAGAAAGACAGACAGAAAGACAGACAGAAAGACAGACAGAAAGACAGACAGAAAGACAGACAGAAAGACAGACAGAAAGACAGACAGAAAGACAGACAGAAAGACAGACAGAAAGACAGACAGAAAGACAGACAGAAAGACAGACAGAAAGACAGACAGAAAGACAGACAGAAAGACAGACAGAAAGACAGACAGAAAGACAGACAGAAAGACAGACAGAAAGACAGACAGACAGAAAGACAGACAGAAAGACAGACAGAAAGACAGACAGAAAGACAGACAGAAAGACAGACAGAAAGACAGACAGAAAGACAGACAGAAAGACAGACAGAAAGACAGACAGAAAGACAGACAGAAAGACAGACAGAAAGACAGACAGAAAGACAGACAGAAAGACAGACAGAAAGACAGACAGAAAGACAGACAGAAAGACAGACAGAAAGACAGACAGAAAGACAGACAGAAAGACAGACAGAAAGACAGACAGAAAGACAGACAGAAAGACAGACAGTTACCGTAACCCCCCCTCCCCTCCCCATCCTTTTCCGTCATTTCATTTGTGAAAATTCGTAAATTTGGCATTTCTTGAAAACGAGTTTTTGAATCGTTCTGAAAATTTGGCTGTAAGCCTAATTTCTGATTCTCTACAACTTTTCCATTGACACCAAGATGGGTTTCTCTTGAAGAAAGTGCTCAAACTGTCACATAACTGTCACATGTCAAACTGTTCAATTCTCCAATCCAATAGATGTCGAGTTCGAGAGTGTCCCTAGTGAGGAGTGGCTCGAGTTTTAGAAAAATAAATATGAAAAAAGACACGAAAAGTGTGTACATCTTAATCAAAAACCGTAGAAGATATATTTACTGTATTGCTTCGTGCCTGTGGTGCCTCTTTAATGAAAAGGCTGAGAGTGAATCGGCGATATGGGCGTGTCAAGAGGACAAGGGACGTCGACTCGAGGATTCCATGGGAAACCCATAGACCGCAGAGAATTTTATTCAACCCTGAACAACCATGTTTAAACAGTTTAAAAGAACTTCTTAAATTTGTCTATCTCCACAAGTTTACCGTCTACTTTTTCATTCGAGTTGCACAAGCGTGGATTCAAGAATCCAGACATTGTACGAGCCATTGTACGAGCCATTGTACGAGCAATTGACTTAACTCACGTTGAATCAAGAAATTTGGTTGAAGGAGCACAACGACCGTGAAATAGAGCCACGGGACGAAGACCAAGGAGTAAACGAAGCTTTAAAGAAATTGGGGATCAAATCGTTGAGTCCGATTTCTACACGATAACGTTAAACCCCCAAACGGCAAAAGTGACTCATGAAAGAATTGACGAGCTAGATTGGAAGCTTTTGCCTCACGCACCTTAATCCCTTGACCTTGCATCGTTAGATTATTTTTTATTTCGGACTTGGAAACGCTTCCTGAGAGATGTACAGTTTGATAATCAGGCTCAAGTCATAAATAAGCCGCACGTAAGCAGCCGCACGCAAGCACCTGCCGCATTTTTGCAAAGAATTTGTGCGGGAACTTTTTGATCATCCTGTAAATGATCCTTTTGATCATCCGTATTTAGCCATATGGGCAGTGTACAGCGGCTTGAGCATATCGTTGGCGGTGAATCGCTGTATCGATTTCGGATGGCCACATAAACAACAGGTACTCGGTATAAAACTGTACAAGTAAACCCATTTTTTTCTTATTTTTTGTTTTGTATAGAAACTCTTTGGCGAGAGAATGATCATTCTGTGGACAGGAGCGCCAATCCTTTATGGGATTGCTTTGTGTATTCAAATGCCGGCAGCACTTTATCATCCCGGCAGTGCCACTTATTATTTTGCGGTCGATCCTGCTCATATACAGGTACATATTTACAATCTAGCATTGACTAAACTCGTCTGTTTTTCCGGGTTCCTTTCCTCTACACAATAAACAATGGATTGGTGGCGGCGTTGATTTTGATTTTGAATATTCTAATGATTCTTGCAATGTTTCATCGAAATTTCATGATCATAACAAAAGCACAAATTGTGTAGTGATTATTGTTGGTTTAGATATAATCTTTATTACAGCGATGGTTCAGTGGCTTGAGATTGGGAGAGTAGAGACACTCCACGGCACACCCCGGCAGCTCGTTCACATTGCTTTTATACGGAACTCAGGCGTTGGTCTCGTCTTGCACACAATGGAGTTGAACGGATAGCGACGCATATTAAATCTCGCACAATAGGCGTTCGTCCACATAGGTGCCTAGCTGGCCATTTCCATATGTGGCGATCTCGATCACGAGATCGTCACGACAAGTTGTGAGGAGATTTTGTCTAAAAAAGAAAAGCTAATTTGATAATTGAAAGAAATGCAGATAATGTTTCAATGTTTGGGAATCGGAATGTCGGTTTTGGTGACCGGATGGATCTATGTTTTTATGCAATTCGTCCCCAAGCCAATCTTTATGATAACTGTGGCCAATGTTTGCTGGCAGCTCTCGAACCGGTGCTGGCAGCTCTCGAACCGGTGCTGGCAGCTCTCGAACCGGTGCTGGCAGCTCTCGAACCGGTGCTGGCAGCTCTCGAACCGGTGCTGGCAGCTCTCGAACCGGTGCTGGCAGCTCTCGAACCGGTGCTGGCAGCTCTCGAACCGGTGCTGGCAGCTCTCGAACGGTGCTGGCAGCTCTCGAACGGTGCTGGCAGCTCTCGAACGGTGCTGGCAGCTCTCGAACGGTGCTGGCAGCTCTCGAACGGTGCTGGCAGCTCTCGAACTTTACAAATGATTTACTTTACAAATGGTTTACTTTACAAATGATTTACCACACAAATGCTTTACTTTACAAATGGTTTACCACACAAATGATTTACGATTTCATTCTCTCCAACCCAATAGAATCCAGATCACATTTCAGGATCAATGGCCATCGTCTATTTGACTGTGAACAAATCGATGCGATTAGAAGTGCTTAAATTGTTGAAGATCCCGTTTCAAACAAAATTTACAATTCAAATAACGTCGATTCAACAGATCAGAATCAACAGATTCAACAGATTCAACAGAATTAAAAGTTCTTTGTGAAAAAATAAAAAATCCCGACCTTTTGTTACTTGTAATCATTTTACTTGTATCATTTTACTTGTAAAGAAAGATTTTATCGATTTTATCAATATTATTATTTTTTTTAGAGCATAGTGCCCAAAAATAGTATCCCAAAATTACATTAACCAAGAAAAGATGATGTAAAAAACCGACATGAAACCCAGTGCCCTCGCAAGCCCTTATTTTAGGCTTCATTTTGACACTAAAAATGGCTAAGCTCTGTTTTGCCATTCTTTAGATTTCGATCAATCTTTTGTCGGACTCGATAAGCTTAACGAGTCCAGAAAAATTTTGAGCTAAAATAACCTTTGATCTTTGTACCACAAAGGATTAAAGTTAATGCACAGAATTATTTGGATATTTTGAAGAACGAGCTTCAACCATTGACACAAAAATCAAAACCTTTTAAAACAAAAAAAAACTAAACAATAAAATTTATTCTTTTAACAACGTGTAACAATTTTGTTTAGTTCTTTTCAAAGGTATCGCACTTGGAGTCAATACGAAGCTTGTAGACATTTCGGGAGAAGTGGCGAGAAGAGATTGGAGATCAAGAAGATTGAAGATCAAGAAGATTGGAGATCAAGAAGATTGGAGTTCGAGCTCGTCTCATACTTTTTGAAGTGATTTCTTCAATGAATCCAAGTTGAAATGAGCTTTTGCACAAGCTTTTGATTCTAAGGCATTGCACAGAGTAATCTATTGGATTCAGATCCAGAGATGAAGGTGATTAAAGCTGATGAAGACGGAGAGGTTTCGAACATTCTTGGACATTTTTTGCTTTATGAACCGGTGCTCCATCCTGCTGAAAGGACCAAATTCTGTTTCCAAAATGATTTTGTGCCAATGGTTGAAGCTCGTTCTTCAAAATATCCAAATAATTCTGTGCATTAACTTTAATCCTTTGTGGTACAAAGATCAAAGGTTATTTTAGCTCAAAATTTTTCTGGACTCGTTAAGCTTATCGAGTCCGACAAAAGATTGATCGAAATCTAAAGAATGGCAAAACAGAGCTTAGCCATTTTTAGTGTCAAAATGAAGCCTAAAATAAGGGCTTGCGAGGGCACTGGGTTTCATGCTTGAAGGAGCTTTGAGCAGTAAAAAAAATCAAAGACCAAGGCAGACTGTCTGAAAATTGTTAAGCAGGTTGTTGAAAATTGACTTGTTAAGCAGGTCTAATCAACGCCTATGCTATGTACTCGGTTTCGAATCAATTTTGAAGTATTTTCACGCTCTTTTAAACTTAAAACTCAAAACTTTGCTACAGTATTTTCAAAAGAAAACTAAGCATTATATTTCAGAGAAATCTCATCTCTCGAATCGATTTGCGGAAAGAAAATGCGATTTGTTTAGTGTTGGATGGGTGATCGAATTGGGTGAGTACGACAATGGCAACTTTTGGCAATGACAAAACTATCTTTGGCAACTTTTGGCAATGACAAAACTATCTTTGGCAACTTTTGGCAATGACAAAACTATCTTTGGCAACTTTTGGCAATGACAAAACTATCTTTGGCCACCTTTGGCAATGGCAAAACTATCTTTAGCAACTTTTGGACATACCCATCCCCCAAATTTCATTTGAATTTGAATGCAAATTTGCTTCGAAATGACTGTGATGTGCTATTCAACCAGGGTTTATACAGGGTGATCAAGATTTACCGCAACACACAAAAGGCCTGGCTTTTAACCAAATCCATCTCGAAAACGAACTCAACCCATCTCGAAAAGTTAACTTAAATATCTTGATTCAACATATAACAGTAACAAATTAACAATTAAATTCAAATTTGCCTCGATCGGCATTCAGCCAAGCCTGCAAACGTTTGGGAAACGCGTTGACCGTGGCGAGCAAATAGGCATCATCGAGGGTATCCCATGCTTTGATGAGCGCCTTCTTCAAACTTTCGATATTTTTATGAGGTTTTGCCCATGCCCTGGCTTCAAGAACACTCCAGACTGAGTAAGGTTAGGGTTGTGGTGATCGATTCCGTTGAACCGTTGGGCACATCAGTCTTTTCGCTTGCCCTTCGCAGCAGTTGATAGTAATTGAGATTTGTTCTTCTTGTACGGCTTCATTTGCAGCTTTTTCTTGATGATTGTGTTGACGGAGCTTCTCTTCAGACCCATTTTCTGTGCCATTCCTCAAGCCGATTGGTTAGGGTTTAATCTTAGACGATCGCGCACTTTCTTGACATTAGCCGGAGTAATCGCTGTTCGTTTTGCACCTCTTCCAGGGCGATCAGAAGATCAGAAGATCAGAAACTGTGCCCAGAGTTTCATAACGTTGAATGGTTCGAGAAACGATGCTCCTGGGGACATTCAGGCAAAGATCTCGTTCTCTCTGAGATCTCGCTCGCCTGAACACGCTGCCGCTTGAGCTCAAGGATCGATTGTCGATGTGGAGACGCTTTCACCATTCCTGAAAACAACCATACTAATTGAAAGTATTGAAAGTTAGTAATCATACCATAAAATAAGAAAAATAGACAAAAACCATAAAAACAGGTAAGCAAAAAGTGAAATGGGGCTCATAACATAATACGACGTTGTTGCGGTAATTCTTGATCACCCTGTACTCAAGCTCTGATTGCCGGTTTGATTGCCAATAGGTGTACAACGGAAAAACACGAGTTTTGATCACTTTAACGAGGACTTTTTCAGGATCTCATGCTACAAGAAGATAGAATCTTTCAAGCTCTATCTTTTGATCTGAAAAATCCTTGAAAAAGTATTCATTGAAATGGTGGAAACTCGTTTTTCCGTTGTACACTTATTGAAAATGAGATCGAAGATCAGAGTCGTCTAGATGACAGATCTAGTTTGTACGGTTAAGTGTTGGAGATTAGATTGCTGGATTGCGTGGATTTTTTTAGAAAATTCCCGAAAATCTGTGTTTTAGTTGTTACCGTATAAAATCCCTTTTCCTCAAGGCAATGTCATTCTTTCACGGGTTTCACGCACGAAAAACGAACCCATTTTTCTTTTTCTAGGTGTTCCCCAGTTGGATTGATCGTTTGGATGGGCTTTTTCTGGTGGTAAAGGAAAGGGGCGATGGGGGCTGCAAGACTCGGGGGAAAGGAAAGGACGAGAGGCAGAGGCCGTACCACGCCCCCCGCCAAGCACTCCTCCCCTCAACCGCGTCCCCTCGCCTCGTTTTCTTCATCATCTTCTTCACCTCATTTTCTCGTCATCTTCTTCTTCTACTCATTTTCTTCTACTCATTTTCTTCTACTCATTTTCTTCTACTCGTTTTCTTCACCTCATTTGCTTTAAGCATTCAACTTTTCATCTGCGCATTTATTGATCTATTTGTGGGTTTAATCGGCTGCAAGAGGAACACTTACAGCTTACCAGCAACCACTTTTGATACAGTTGACTTTACTTTTACTTTACTTTGCTTACTTTAACGTAAGTGCTTACGTTAACGTAAGTGCTTACGTTAAAGTAAGCAAAGAGTGTTAAAGTGTTTGTAGATTAAAGCTACTGTACCATTTTTGGCCCATACTGTGCATAGCTGAGAATAACTTTGATAATTTATCCACGAGCTCTTCTTTGATAATTCTTGCACATTCTTGAACTTTGATAATTCTTGCAAACGCAAAAACTTTACCGTTTTCACTTGTATCTCAGTAATCTTTTCATGTTTTCATGAGTTTTGGTGTCTTTTCTACAACTTTATCCTCTTTTAGACTTTTTGTTCTAAGTTTTGTAGTAGTGTAGTGTTTGTAGATTAAAGCTACTGTACTCGTGTCTCTTTGTAAGCTTTAAATAGTAGGGGATCCATAGTTAAAGTTGAAAGTAATCCATTAAACCTAAATTCCAATCCAATCCATTAAACCTAACTTCTTAAAATCCTTACAATTGTATTTGAAATTGTTTCAATATTCAATTTCCCGTTCTTTTTCCTCTTTTTCTTCAAAAAAATCAATATTTTATAGTATTTTTTTTCTTCTAGCAAGGGCTAGGAACGCTAGGGGAGGCGAAAAAAGCGAAAAAACGGGGTCACGAGGCAAAAAAAAGCTGGGCAAAGGGCCATGGAACGCCCTGATTGTCTCTTCTCTCTCACTCTTTCATGATCCATTTCCTTTTTTTCCTTGCATCTTATACCCAAGCTGTTCCCTGACCTTTCTCCATCTGTATCCATCTGTATCCACTCTCAAAATCCTTTTCTCTTTCTCTATAAACCTCTCTTTCGACTTTCTCGACTTTCTCCATTCTCGCAACTCTCTATGTTTTTTTCTATCTTTTCCTTCTCTCTATCTTTCCTTCTTTCTATCTTTCCTTCTTTCTTTCTTTCTTTCTTTCTTCCTCTTCTTTCTATCTTTTCTTCCCTAATCCCACAATTTCCCCAGTCTTCTCCACTTCTCCATCGATGAATCCCTTCCAACTGCTCTCCAACACCATCAGAATCTCCAACTCTCTCTCCAATTCCCTCCATCTCCCAACATATCCATATTTCATTTAACTCTCTCTTCACAACCCATCTCTCTTCTCAACCCATCTCTCTTTTTCTCTTCCCAACTGTATCTCTATTTTTTCTTTCTAAACCTCGATCCTCTCTTCTTTTTTGAGGGACTCAATGTGAAGACCGCTCCTCCCCCATCGCTCACAAAAAGTAGCACCCAATCGATTCGAATTATGTTTTCTTCAGGCGAAGAGCTTCTGAAAAAGTTTATTTTCAAATTCTCTTCTCATTTTTTATCTACCGCAGCTGCCTTGCCTTGCCGCTGCTGCCTTGTCTTGCTGCTGCTGCCTTGCCTTGCCGCTGCTGTCTTGCCGGAAACTTTGTGATCTTGAATTGACCTATCTATAGGTTTATAGTTATCTTGAACACTTTTCGAATGTTCGAATGTTCGAATTCTTGTGTGACTTGGGAATTCTTGAATTCTTGAATTCAATCGTTCAATCTGCCTTCTTTGATTCAATCGTTTAATCTAGCCATTGCATTTCTTCATAAATATTCTTGATTTTCAATTTCTTCAGATCATTTTCCTTTTCGAATCTCCAATCAGTCATCTCTCTCTTTTCTTTCTTTCTTGTTTACTTTTTGATAAGCTGTCTAGAGCATTCTTGGCCACAAAATGCTAGTTTTGCCTTTTTTTGGGAAAACATTAAAGCTTTTTGGAAAGCTTCCAAAGCTTTTTGAAAAGTCGAAATTCAGTTAGTTTATACTCTTCACTAATTTCATCTGACGCTGTTTCATCACCCGCTACAATTATCGTTATAACCTCTTTATAACAATTCCTCTAGCTTGAGTTCTATTAGATAACTCTAGCAATCTTCTAGGTCATCAACAATGCCAGCAAAGAAAGGAAAGCGCGGAGGAGCCAAGGGAAAAGCCCCAGCAGTAAAGGGAAAAAAAGAAGAGAAAGATGAAGTGGCACTGCCAAAGGTGAGAAAGAAGAAAATAGAGAATCGAGTAGCATTTATAACCTTATAAATGCTCTAGCTAGGCAATAACTCTAGAAGATATCGGTATATTGTCTCTAGAAGATCTCGATATATATAAGCACAGTATACGATAGTTAGAGCTTTACAGTAAGCTAAGATCTAGTAAGACTTCATTCAGCTAAAGCTCAGCACAATTCATTCAACTAAAGCTTTTGCAAACATTCAACCAATTCAGGCGACAAAGACCATCGAGAAGAAAGCGGCTCCAGCCGGGAAAAAGGGAAGAGGAAGACCAAAGAAGGGACCAGCGAAGAAAGGACCCGCTAAGGGAAAAGGGTAATTAATGGAAAAACTTTGGATTTAAGTTCAACTTTTGACTCCGAAAAGCGTTTAAACCATGTAAACCATTTCAACTTTCAGAGCCGCCAAGAAACCGGCCAAAGCCGACTCGGATAGCGGTGCTGAGGAGCACAATGAACAGGTAAAAGCCTAGTCACAAGAAGATCTGATAATCTGATCTAATAATCCTAGTTCAATCTAAAAAGAGATTTTCCTCGTAAAACAGTTTAATCACAGAAAGCTCAGACTTTAACTGTACACCTAGTGTAAAACTTACGGTTTCCAAAAAAACTTACCGTTAGTTTTGAAGCCAAATTCAGTCAAATTCGAATCACTTTACGTTTACGTTTCAAATATTCAGAGCGAAGAGCCAGCTTCTGGTGCCGAGGATGCCGGTGCATCGGATGGTGGAGAAAAATCTGAATAATTTTTCGAAAATTTTTCCTTATTCTTTTGATACTGCCCATGTTAAATGTTAAAAGTTCTTTGTTTTTATGTATTTGAGTTCTTTTTCTTTAACTCTTCCAAACCTCATTCGTATTTGTTTGGCAACGATCTCAATTCACATTTCTTCCTTCACTGTTGATTATCTGAAATAAAATTTTTCTAGGAAACATAATGTTTAATCAAAAAACAAAAGATTCATCTAACTTTTGATAATGAAATGCTTGAGTTTTGTTAAAAGTATGCATACTTTACACTTCAACTGGCATACAGTAGACCATCGAAAAGCTTCGAAATTCAATTATCAATGCTAACGAATGTGCGCGGCGATAGAGAACACACAAAGCATTAGAACCTAAAAAAAGAAACCAAGACAATCAGTTACCGGACTCGATCCGGACTCGCCTTGCGTCCTAACTCACTACTACTCAGCCAGCCCTGCAACTGCCGAGCTCGCGAAAGACAGGGCTGTAATGTCGCGTTTTGATTTTTCAAGTTCCTTACAAAACTTTAAACACGTAAACTTTTGACAGTGCTCAGTAGAAAAAAGAAAATCAGCATCATGATCAGCGTGAAATTCTGCGTCCAAAGGTCTACGGCTCATATGATTAGGCCAGCACATCCAGTTGACCTTCCCTTGTAAATTGCTCTGTATGTTTGGGCTTACAACGTTGCTTGAATGTCGATAATATGGTTTTCTATTCAGAACTTAAACTTTCAACCGAAACTTTGTTCAGAAAAACACTGCAAACTTGGCAACCCTTTTTAGATGTTCTGGAAAAATCTGGAAACAGCTTCATTTAAACGTTAACAACAAAAGAAATTGGCTAAAAAATCATAACAAAACTGGAATAACAATGTGGAATAATCTAGAGTACCTATACAAAAACAAAAAATACAAGAGTAAATTGGGGAAGGGCTAGGCGTCGAGTGGAAAGGACTTCACATCAATTGGTTTCTTTAGGCGGCGATCATGTTCGAGCTCTAGTTTGTTGCGCAATTCACGAGCTTCAGCCGGAGTACGGTAGTGACCCTGAATTAAGATGATTGACTCATATTTTAATCTTCAAAACAAAATAGGTGAATTTCAGCAAGTTTAGTTGTAGACCTTTCACAAACACATTCCTCACCTTGCCGGTCTCTTCATCGTAGACATAAAGGCCCATTTCTGTTAAAGTGTAGCCGAAAACCTTCCAGCCGACAAAAAAGAACACAAATGATATGACGAGTCGACGCTTAGCCCACTAAAACATAATTTCGTTGGTTAAAAAATAAAACTCACTTGTTGATAAGAAATTTTGCTTTGTTGTGGAGAAAAAGAACGAAGTTTTTGTCGAAAAATTCGACGCCATTCCCAATATATTGTCATCTAAATGAAAAGATTTAGTGATTTAAGTACAAATAAATTTTGATTGATAACTTACGTATCCTAACTACCCTACTTTTAACAAAGATAAATAAAACTTTTAACTAGTGGAAACAAACCCGAGAAATTAATAGACAATTTTTGCTTGTTGAGATGGAAGCAATCCGAAACGTTTCTTCACAATCACACGGTACTTGCTGAAAGAAATACGATAAAACAATTCGGTGCTTGCTATAATAGTTGGGGGGGGCAGTCCGTAACTCGTTCAAAAGAGCTGGAATTTTGCTTCCTGGGATTTTCGACCATGCTGAATCAATTGGTAATAATTTTTAATTGGATTTTCAAACAGGTTTTAACACGTTCCTACGTGTCAAGCAACGTCTTTAAAAGGAGCACCGGAGATCAAAGGAACCTCAATTTTAGTTTATTTTCTTGGCAAAAGTATAGTTTTTGTTTTCAGAATGGAATTACTGCTGCTACAAGAATTGATTTGCGGGAAATCAATTTACTGACGGTGGCCTAAATTAGCTGTGAAGACATCTGATGACTTTGACACCTGGCTTAGCGGCGAAGTGGCCAAGAAATACCCATTGACTTATGCTGCTTTTGTTACTTTATTGTTGCCTTGTTGCCTTGTTAATGTTGATGAATATTGTTTACAAGGTGTAATATTTCAAAAAATAAATCATATTTAAATTATCACCAATCGATTCAGCATGGTCGAAAATCCCAGGAAGCAAAATTTAGGCCTTTTGAACGAGTTTCAGACTGCCCCCCACCCAACTACTATAGCACCAACAATTGTAAACCAAAATATACCTGCACTTATCCTCAGGCGAGAACTTTGCGGGGTGTGCCGAAAACGTCTGACTACCCTCAGGAGCAGTTTTCTGTAACGAAAAAATAGATTAGCATAAAAATGAATCCGTAGATCTTAAGCAAAATTGCTTCACCCTAATCAAATTTCTTTTTCTTAAATTAGAATACGCGTCAAAATAAATAAAAATTGAGAAATAAACCTTCAAAGTGTAGACACGGCGTCCGTTCTCGTCAATGAAGTATCTCAAAAGCATTTGCAATGATCCGAAGTGAGCACTCCGTTGTCGCTTGGCTTCTAAAGTAGAAAATTAGAAAACGATGAAGATTTGAAAGTTTAAAAAAGTGACACAGTGAAGATACACCAATTACACGAGAGAAAATAATGGTCGGCAACTGGGTCGTTTGCGCAACTCGCCATAACTTTCGCCTAAGTGAACCAATCTTTATGATTTTGGTTTCATTTTGTTGCACTCATTGCGATCTACAAAATGAAACCAAAATCATAAAGATTGGTCCACTTAGAAGAAAGTTATGGCGAGCTGTGCAAAAGACCCAGTTGCGCAAAAAACATTTGGCGCAAAGTAGCCACCCCCAAAATAATGATTTTAGCGAATGGGCGATGGATTTTATAGTGCGCTTTTTAGACTAAAGATATTCAGTTGAAAAGCTGTATTTTTAATATTTTAAAAACTGGTATAAATTGATGAACTTTTTGAAAAAGTTACTGCTGCGCATAAATACTTTATCTTTTTTATGTTTTTAACTTTCAAAATAGATAGCCGTAGAGGAAGGGAAATCTATTAGTAAGAAAAATGATGATTGTAGAAGAAATGAGCAAAAATGAGCAAGTTTTTGTATAGTGTCCTGTTTATTGTTAGACTAAAGATATTCAGTTAAAAAGCTGCCGATATAAATTTCGACAAAAGTCTTATAAAACCATGACTTTTTAAGACATTTGCCGCTGATTTTACGCACAAATATCTAACGTTTACTTATTTAGATTTTTTAAAAAGGCTTTCGCAAAGTTCTACACTCAAAATTCAAAAAAAAGCCTTTAATCCAAGAGGTTCACCCATCGAAAGTAATTAGTATTTGCGTGGAAAAACGCCAAAATCAAATCCCCGTGAAGTAAGCCATTTTATGAAGTAATCGATTCTCTAAAAATTTAACGAATTTATAAAAAATGAATAAATGCCTTTTAATTTACAAAAATCGAGAAAGAGTATCACAGATCAAAAGATTTCTATAGGCACTACGACGCACAAGTACAAAAACGAGAGGCATTGATACAGACAAGAGAAGACAGACAAGAGAAGACATAATAAGTTAAGGAATTGTACAAGAATTAAGGAATTGTACAGGAAATGCACGAGAAAAGATGAAGATTTTGAGATTTCCCTCTCGAATTCGATGATTCAGCGAGGAAACTGTTTGTGAAAGTGGAAACATTTTAGCGATGTTCTTCAAAGAATAGAAATTCTGAAGATTGAACAATGAATGATCGATAAGATCTAACATGAAGCTTAGTAGCTTAGTTTGTGAGCAAGATTTAACCAGAAACATGAAGAAGTTTGCAAAAGAAAATGGGAAAATGATTTACAATGGGCCCAATCCAACAGTCTCAAAGACGTGGTCCCAGATTTGAGTCGAGATTCCGAATGCTGAAATTGGATTGAGGGTTTTGTTTCGAGATTTTATGTAGCTGATGTTATCAATATGCTGTTATCAATATGCTGTTATCAATATGAAATATATTAGCTTAAAATTTGAAGGCATCATTTATCTTGGCATCTTGGCATCATTTATCTACAAAGAACTTCCCAATTCGAATTATACAACTCATTTTAGAAGCTCTCGAATGAGCTCAAATCGGCCTCTCTCCGGCGATCTGCCATTTTTCACACTTTTCTTAATAAAAAATTGTTTAAAAGGTTTTCTCCATATTTCTTTCGTGAGAAAATAACACTGAATATCATTTAATAGCAATAAGAATAACAGCAAACTCTTTTGTTCAACTTTCATAGCCAAAATTGGGGTTGATATCTGGGTTATTTGGAAACTCCGCAAAAAAAGAGAAAATTGAGCTTTTTCGCTTCATTGAGCTTGATTCATTTGATAAGAAAATCTTGTTGTATAAGCTATTTTTTTTGTTTAATAGTACTTTTCAAGTAAAATACCATAGTTTGATTGAAAAAATCCCTTTCTAGATGGAAATATTGTGAGTCAAAAATGTCAAATCGCTAAAATGGCAAATCACCTTAGAAAGGTCGACTTCAGCTCATTCGAGAGCTTGTAAAATGAGTTGTATAATTCGAATCGGGAAGTTATTTTTAGGTAAATGATGCCAAGATGAAGCTTTATTTTCTATATAGCACTTTCTATATAACACTTGGCACTTTGGTCATAAGTGTGTGACAACAACTTTTCCAAAAATTGTGTCATCATAAGTCGCGATCGTATTTATATCTGATGCGAAACAACAGAAAACATTCTTTGCAATCACCCACCAACGTCATAATCCTTAAAATGGTGATTATGGTGGTAAACTTTCTTGTAGTGCATATTCGTTTGTGGACGAGGTGAGCCATGATGAAGATAATAGTGAGTACAATCATAAAGAATGTATCCACAGAGTTTGCCCGCACCGAAACAACAGAAAACAGCCCTGGAAATTTTGAGATACCTTGGTTGTAGATAGGTTTCAATTGAAGAAATTAAAGAAATAAAATTCGTTGATTTATTTTGCACTGACCAAGGCAAAATCGAGATATAAATGCTGGCAAAGACCAAAATGATGAGAAGAGCGGGCACTGGTGGGAAAACCAAACGATCGCCGTCCATTGGAGTTTTGTGATGAAGCCCTGGATTCGGATTTTAGACAGGGAATTGATTATTATATTTTCCATTTTCTCTAATACTAGTGCAACCAGTCGAGCCGAGTTGATGACTATTTTCCGGCTTCTAAGTTTTCTAAGAAGCTCAACACTCAAATCCTCCACTAGATCTCATCGTCAGCTACATTTTCCGACCCCACATCGATAGGTTCTGATAAGCGGTTTTCTAGATTTCGAGGAATTTAGGCAAAGCTTAAGATGCATTCCTATTAGAGAGAATACGGTATTTTAATTGGAATTAAAACATAGAACAAAACTGTCCGGTCTGTCATATTCAAACATTGAATTTTTCGATAGTCAAGACTAGGCTCTGGTAAGTTTTAGGCAAGTTTTAGGCTCCAATTACTTCAGTCAAGGCTTAAAATGTTCCGAACGAGCTCTAGGGCCTGGAAATTAGACAAAATCTGGCCAAAGTCAAGTCCAGGCCTAACTTCGGGCCAACTTAGGGCCAAGTCAGGCAAAGCAAGAAGTCGAGCTAGGTTTTTGGCCTAGTACAGAAAAATTTCTTTGTAGCTATCCTGGTTTCTAAATAGCGTGGTAGCACCTAAGTGTAAAAGTCGTACTAGGTACTATTGTGTTAGTTAAGTCCTAGAGCCTATTAACAAGTACTAGAAGTACTAATACTAGCAGTACTATGTAGAAGTCTTTTCCTTTCCAGAAGGCTGTTCAGAAAATCTTTTCGTTCCTTTTCATACTTCTGTTTAAAACTAACAAATGCACCAATTGAACTATGGTTTGTTTCATCAGAAAAGCCAATTATTTTTCTACAAAATAACATTCAAACGGGTTTAAAATGGCTTATTTTTGAATTTTTGGGAGTGTGAAGTCGGGTAGTCAAAAAGGGCGATGGTCTATAACTTTGATGGTCTATAACTTTGTCTAAAGATAATATAATTGTTACGCTTTTATATAGTTTTATAGAAGAGATTTCAGGCTTTTTAATGATACCAGTTAGAGCCTGATTGGTCTAGCCAATCCAGAGAAAATCAAGGGACAAGAGCTGCGGGTTTTGGATTGGATTGGCTAATCCAATCAAGCTCTAATTGGTATCATTTGAAAGTCTGAAATTTTTTTTAGAAGGCTTCTATACAACTAGATAAACAACTAACAATAATATCATCTTTACTTAATGTTATGAACCTTTAAAGCCTTCTTTTTCCTTTGATCGTCTCATTCATTCAGAAGGAACAAAAGGAAAAGGAACAAAAGGAAAAGGAACAAAAGGAAAAGAAACAAAAAGACTTTCTGGACAGCCTAATATCACCTGATACAGATATCAGGATAATCCTGGATAATCCTAGCTCTCTAGACAATCCTAGATCTCTAGATAATCCTAGATCTCTAGATAATCCTAGATCTCTAGATAATCCTAGACCTCTAGATAATCCTAGATCTCTAGATAATCCTAGATCTCTAGATAATCCTCTTTCCAAAGTCTCACCGTGAATCAAGAAATGCAAAACGATTTGTGTCTTCGATTCGGTGTTCGGATGCCAATGAAAGACGAAACGATGCAAGAGATATTCAACCAACGTCCACATCAACACTCCACCCGCAAACAAGAAAGCCCAAATCCCTGCAGAAGTCACCAATCCTAAACAAATTATTCTTTTCGAGAAATCTCAAGAAAGAAAAATGTTTCTGAAAGCAAAATCTGTCACGTACATACCCATCAACCATATTGAAATCTTAAGGTGAATTGTGAAATTATTGGAACTATTGGAAGCTATTCTCGTCATCAACTCACCATATTTCCCATGTAGATCGTAGAGGCCAGCGAGAGTGAAAAGAACGACAAACGGCATCCAAACAAGCGGAACCACCCACCAAGAGGTTCTCGTTAAACTCTCGAGGAAATCCGAATCGAAAAGTCTGAAAAGTTTTTGCGTATTTTGTTCGTTTGTAAAATTGTAAACAAATCCTTTCACTGAAATTACTGAAAAAACCGTCTTTTTTTGCACTGAAACCTTCGTTTTTAGACCAAAAGAGAATTCAATGCTCCAAGAAAGGTGTGTTCACAATTGAATCGTATTCAATCACCATTCAATTGAATCACAATCATATTAAAACTCACCGAATTGTTCCCTCAAACGGTTGATGTATCCATGTCCAATAGTCGGCACCCAATAAACCGATTCTACCAAGCACACCTTTCTTGTCATCCAAATAGGGATCATCCTGGAATAGAGTTGTTATCTAAGAACTATAAGGCTCGGGTTGGCTATTAGCTTGACTATTAGTTTGTTCAAGCTTGACTATTAGGTTGTTCAAGCTTGACTATTAGCTTTCTTCAAGCTTGATTATTAGTTTGTTCATGCTTGACTATTATCTTTCTTCAAGCTTGGCTAGGTTCTCAACTAAATAACCGAACTTTTTCACTAAAAATTAGTTTATTGAATGCACCAAGTACGGTTTGCACCATTTGAACGGTTTTGAACGTTTGCACCATTTGAACGGAACGGTTTGCATCAAGTTCTTAAAAGTTAAAAGTTCCGGCTAGCAAGTCAGCACAAGCCAGACCAAGCTAATTGTAAGCCACTGTTGCCTAACTTTGGTTGACCTTGGCCGGAAATCTTGGATATGCAAAAGTGGCAAGAATCGACGGTTAGCAATAGAGTGTTTTCCTCTCAAATCAAATCGTTCAAATCATATTTTCTAAAAGATGCTCCTCAGCAAAGTCATTTTCTAAAAAGCGCGCTTTTCTAAACCCTCTTTTCGGGAGTGGGACAAATGCGACCTTTTTTTTGCGCACCCGGCCATTTGCGCACCTTTTTTTCCGCACCTGGCCCATTAGCGCACCTTTTTTCGCGTTTTAAAAAAGCTCTAAAAAGCTAATATTAACCAATTTCTATTCCAAAAGTTGTTTTTCTAGGTAATTTGAGGGTGTAGAATCGAAATTTTGACATAACAGAGCGTGTGGAATCAATTTGAAAGACAAAACGGGTAGGTCAAATTACAGAAAATGGTCGATTTTTTCTCTTTGTTACCTTCCCGTCCCGGTCGCTTCCACAAGCTCTGATATGTCAAAATTTCGATTCTACACCCTCAAATTACCTAGAAAAACAACTTTTGGAATAGAAATTGGTTAATATTAGCTTTTTAGAGCTTTTTTAAAACGCGAAAAAAGGTGCGCTAATGGGCCAGGTGCGGAAAAAAAGGTGCGCAAATGGCCGGGTGCGCAAAAAAAAGGTCGCATTTGTCCCACTCCCCTCTTTTCGCGCTTTTCTTTTATTATTTCTAAAAGTTTTGCTTCTTTTTTTCTATTCTTATCGGATTTGAAAGTTTTCTTTCTGAATTTTATTGTTTTAAACGAATATTTATTTTTAGAAACAACAAATAAGGAAAGAAGATGGTCGATCAGGTCAAACATCGTCAAACAAAGGAGAAAAAGATCAACGATGTGCCAGGACAGTTTTTTTTCTGTATATTTTCGATATTTTAAACATCTACCGGGGTTAATTGCTTTTCTTTAGTGAAAGAAGACGAACGTAAGCAACGTAAGAAAGAAGACGAAAGAAAAGAGAAGAAGAAAAGAAACTTCAGAAGAACTTCAGAAGGCAGAACAACAAAGAAAGAGAGGTCAGCATTTTTTTTAATTCCATAAAGTCTAATTCGTCTTCCATTACGAGCTAAAGGTTAATATCAAATCCTATTTGCAAAAGAGTAGAGAAAAAAGCAATAGTTACACTTCATTTTGTCTTTGGAGAATGAAAATAACTTTCTACTTATGAATTGCGAGTTCACGGTAGTCTAGAAAACATGATTTGAGAGGAGCAGACTCTAGTTGGCAACGTTTTTTGATAGGAACTGACAGTAACTTTCTATGCCAAAAAAAAGATCAATATCTGTTACATTTCTAGTAAGATTCCCAATAAAATCCATCCAGCCGTTTTGTACAAATTTCAGGTTATTCAGATGATCAAAATCGATGACTATGATCAAAATCCTTTATTTGAGGGTTTTGATATGATCAAAATCCTTTATTTGAGGGTTTTGATATGATCAAAATCCTTTATTTGAGGGTTTTGATATGATCAAAATCCTTTTTGTCAATGTTCAAACCAAAATTCAGAAAAAACGGCTGGACGGATTTGGTTGATTTTACTGAAAAGATAGAATATCTATGTCTTTATTTTACGTAAAAAAAGTAAAAGCAATTCTTGTTGAAAAATTTGTCAAATGAGTAAGCTTTTGCGTTTGGTGTTTGCTTTTAGACTATATGATTAGATAGATTGTTAGCGTTTAGACTACATGATTAGATAGATTAGATTAGATAGATTAGTTTAGATAGATTAGTTTAGATTAGATAGATTAGATAAGCAGTTTAGACGAATTTGGCTGATAATTTTACTAAAAATGTAACATAGATTGATCTTTCTTTAGCATAGAAAGTTAATGACAAATGGGAAAGCTTTTGCGTTTCGTGTTTGCTTTTAGACTACATGATTAGATAGATAGATAGATTAGATAGATTAGATAGATTAGATAGATTAGATAGATTAGATAGATTAGATAGATTAGATAGATTAGATAGATTAGATAGATTAGATAAGCAGTTTAGACGAATTTGGCTGATAATTTTACTAAAAATGTAACATAGATTGAACATAGA